GGGGTGTCGCGGTGGGGCTCTCAGGGAGCTCTGGGCAGCTCGGGGGGAGGGAGGGGAGGCCTGGGCCTGCACAGGCGGCAGAAGGGGCTGAGGAGGAAAACGTGAGGGGTGAAAGGCGCGTTGTGAGCCCTGGGGAGGGGCGAGGAGGGAGGAGGGCGAGGCAAACGTCTCCTCTTCGCTCTTCCCGAGCGACTGTTTCATCTTCCACCCTCTGGAAACTTGGCCGGGAATTGTGAGCTTGGAGTTGGCTGCGTTGTTCGTGTGGAAGTGCCGAGCGGTGTTGCAGAGAGGGTTGTTGGCAAATGGCTGTGAACTTGTTTTATAGAGGTCAGTATTCATAACTGCGTCTTGTTTTACATCGGTGTTATGTGATATTTCTAAATGCAGTTGCATTTCGGAGAAGATACAGCCTGGTTTTGTTGCTGGGAGTTGCTGGTGTGCAGTGTGAGCTCGGTGTGAAACGAAAACAGTGGTAAAAATAGTTGTTTTCTCTTCCCAGGTTTCATGGTGAGGGGTATCAGGAGGGGTATGCTGAAGGCAGTCAAGCTGGAGTTGCTGAGGGAAGGAGGTATGGATCACTCCATGGTGCCAAGATTGGCTCTGAGGTAAATGGGAAAATGCTTCAGAATCACAATGTTTTTGTCGTTAGGAAGTTATTGTAACACAGAAACTGTTGGGCAAGGTCTGATATATTGGTCTGAGTCCTGCTGTGTTATACTGCTTTGTCTGTGTCTCAGAGGGCCCTTAAGCTGGCTTAGAGGTGGTATTTTTATTTGAAAAGTTAAATAGATGGTTTGGTGCTTCCGAGCTTATTTCCTCTATGAGCCTTCAATTATTTATTTTCTGAAAGAGGGGACAGTAAGAGACAAAAATCAGACAAGCTTGCTCAGAGAAAAAAAAAGAAAAAGATGGCCTGTGCATTTGTTTTGGAACCCAAAATGGTGGTGAGAAGCTCCCCTGTACCATTTCCTGTGGCTCAGCACTAGGGAAAAACACAGAACATTGAGACACTTTGTATGGAGAACCATGAAGGGACAATTCTGAGTGAGTCTGTTGCACTCTTTGTTATTGCTAATAACAGCCGAGGTTGAGGTTTGAGGCACTGTTATTCTTTTGGCTCATGGAGACACTTCTGTGCATGCCTGGATCAAAAAGCCTTCTAGAAATGAAAGGACTGGAGGTGAAAAGGTGGTGTGGTGCCTTGACTTGTCTCACATGTCTGACTTCAGCTCAGTGTGTGTTCAGTGCTCTACAATGTAGTTACAGTATTTTTGGACCTGGGCTGGATTGCTTTCAGCTTTGATGGGAAGCTGTGTTCCAGGATTCATGGCAGGCCTTACTTCAAGTCCAGCACCACAAATCTGTTTGATTTGTTGAGGTCTTTGGGTAATTTGGCAATTTACCCTTTTGGTATTATCAGGTGTCAGAAAGTGAATTGCCTCCAGAAAGAACAGTAGCAATGGCATTAACCCATTTTGAAATGGAGAAGGTAAACTGTCAAATTCTGAAAGGATGGTTATTTTAAAATTCTGGTTTGCATTTGGGTGTGATGGAGAGATGTGCAGTGATGGAATATTTTCCAACTTATGCTGCAACTATGTAGTTCCAAGGTGAGAATGTTAAACAGCAGCCTGTAAAGCTGGACAGTTTTGTACCAAGTGATCCTAGACAGGCCATAATAATAGAATCACAGAATGGTGTGGGTTGGAAGGTTCTTAAAGGTCCTTAGTTCCAACCCCCTGCATGGGCAGGGACACCGCCCACCAGACCAGGTTGCTCCCAGCCCCATCCAACCTGGTCTTGAACACTTCCAGGGATGGGGCAGCCACAGCTTCTCTTGGCAACCTGTTCCAAGTCCCAGCACCTGTTTCTCTTTCGGAAGCTTCAGAGGACTGTAGGATTGCAGGCAATGAGTCATGTTAAGTGAGAGAAAGAGTGACTTGAGTAATCTTGGAGCTGTCAGCCTTTTTTGTGTCTTGGGCAAAATTATGGTGCTGATCTAGTACTGGCCTTTGATAGCCAATTCAATATGTTGTAATTAAAGTGTATCTGGTTTTGGACACATTCCTCAGTCAGGCTTAGATGCAGCATCTGCTTGGACTCCAGCAGGAGACTGGCACTGCACTCCTGTGCTGGAAGAGTCCTACTTAAGCTGAGCTAAGTGTGCAGGGGCCAGGTGTGTTTTACCATAGCAGCTTGTGCTCACCACAGTGGCAACTGCTGCATCTCTCAGTTATGTCCATGTACTTTTAGTCCTTAAGCAGTTTGGAGCCCTGCAGATTGAGTATCTACCAGTGAAAAATTAACTGGAAGCCTCACTTCAAATATGCTTGAACACTTGGGTTGTTAAGTCCCAAGCCCATGTTTCACCCTTCAGAAGAAGCTCCACCATGTACTTTAGCAATCATAGCCAATAGAAGACTGGAACTACCAAACACTCCCACTCTGAAGTGATTTGCAGGCCACAGGAGCCTACACATCCAACAGTCTTGTGTAAGGTGACGGGGGTATGGACATGCAGTTTATGGACCAAACTGGGATTAGGCTGTAACTTTGGACTTAATTTTCCAAGCCAGCCAACTTTTGTTCCAGATGTCTGTGTTGTTTTTCTGTGAATGCTGAGTCACTTCTGAAAGGGACTCCAGCTGACTTACCCAGTTGGTGCATTCAAGAACTTACCTATATTCCTGCTTCATTTGGTGTCCAAAGTTGTTGTGAGAAGTTCTGGCAGCAGGGCTGGCTTAGTCAGCTCCTCATTCTTTCTGATTCCGTGCACCCTTTTTGAATTAAACTGGTAAAATTGTTTGTGTATTAACTCAGAAAAAAAGGTGCCTTCCTTTTTGGGTGACTTGGGAGCTCCCTCAGCCCACCTGGTGCACCTTTTTATAGTGCTGCATGTGGGCTGCTTAAACTGACATAGTGCTGTAAAAACAAATACCCAAAGGTCTTAAATACCTTGTTTTCTAACAAGTTTTCTGACTCTTGTACTGTGGAACTCTTGCCCTCATTTATCATACTGTAGTTCACTGGACTTTCCAGCATAGAAACATACTTGTTTCCTGAAGAAAGAGATACAATGTAGTGCTTTGTTTTTGTTTGACTGTGTATATATATATACTACATGTATGTTTTTTCCCCTGGTGACATTCTGCTACATTCCCAGATTGGCTGCTACCTGGGGTTTGCACTGACGTGGCACTGTCTGCTCCAGAAATGCACAGATGAAAAGAGCAGGTAAGATTAAAAAATAAAAAAAAGTGTATTTACTTTTCTTCTAATCCTGTTTCAAATTATGGTGCCCAGTTTTGCCTCTTCCCCACTACAAAGAAATGGTGAAAGACAGAAAAAAGGTGAGCAGAGGGCCACCAGGAGGGTATCCTGCTGGACCATGTGATACTGCAAAGAGGAAAGTGGAACTTGGTGTCTTCAGCCTGCAGATGAGAGGGAAGATACCTTGTTGTACCACATAAGGGGGAAGTTCTAGAAAAGATGGAGTCATGTTCCTTGCAGAAGTGCACAGGGAAAGGGAAACAGGCAACTTTCACAATCTGAAACAAGTTAAGGTCTCATGTAGCATAAGGGGAAGGTCCTTTCCAGTGCAGGCAGCAAAGGGCTGGGACAAGTTGTCCAGAGAGACTCTGGAACCTCTATCTTAGCAGATTTTAAAAACCTCTTTGGAGATAGCCCTGAGCAACCTTGTGTAGCTTTGCAGCTAGTCCAGCTTCCACAGAAGGTGGACTTGGACCTACCTTCTCCTGTCCCTTCCAACCTCCATGTTTCCATGACTTACTTTCTCTATAATTTTTTTTCCTGTCTAGTTCTGATTAATTTATCTGACATAATTGCCACCACATTGTCAGCCATCCTGACATGTGTTCTGCTGAGCTTTTTTATTGCATGTCTTTATTTTGCTCAGTCATCTAATCAATATTTCTGAGGATTCTTGAGTTTTTCTCAACTTCTGGCAGGGCAGTTAAAAGGGAAACCTTGACTTTATTAATTGTGCTACAGCTTGATTTCTGATTATGGCTTAAATAAGTATCAAATGTTCACTCTCAGTTTGCTAGATGGGAGAAGTTGAATTAAAGAGGGATGGAGGGCTGGGTCTATGCTCTGAATAATTATGTGTATTAGTGTAATTGTCCTATTGACAGATTGAAAAAAATGTAGTAGGCTCATTGGTCTTTCAGTTTTGATTTGATTTTAATTTTTTTGTATTTTTTATTTTACTTTATTTTTTTAGCAAAAAGATGAGGGCTCTGGATTCATTAATAGGGATGGTTCAGAAATTCCCATATGAGGACCCCACTTATGATAAGCTGCAAGAAGATCTGGAAAAAATCAGAGGAAAATTTAAACAGGTTTGTAGGATTAAGTTGTTACTTCAGCACATATTAGTTTCTGGAAATATTTAGTTTCTAAGCCCACTCAAAACTACAGTATTTGTGCAGAGCAACTAATGTGCTCTTTTTGTAATGGTAAAAATACTTGAAGTGAATTAAGTGAAAATACTTGATAGTTGAAAATTCTCCAACCAGTAGTGAATGCAAAATGAAAGACAAATATCTTTTTAAAGGAAAATTGAACATATTATTTGACAATGAATTAAAGATGGTTCCAGAAGAAGAGAAATGGAGGATTGAGGAGTTTTGTTGAACAGTCTTCTTGGAAAACAGACACTTTGAAACACTTTTGTGCATTCTTTTTTAGGTTTGTTCAATGCTAAATGTTCAGTCTGGTTTTAGAATTGGTACTGAAAGATCTTCACTAACATTTTGAATGTAACAGATGAAGATAAGCATGGATGACCAAGGAAGAAACATTTAAAAACCCCAGATAACTGGAACAGTGTTTTTCTACTCTTAACTTAAACAAAACCAAAATAGTGGAGGGGTGCTAAATTTCAAAGAGGAAAGGGAAACGAGCACTGACCTTGCAATAGTACTTCTCAAATGTAATTTAACTTTTATTATCTCCAGATTTTATTTAGGATCACTGAAATACCAGTGTGTAAACCTGGGAAATAGAAACAGTTGCTTTAATCCCTCACTAGCTTTGCACTGATAGATGAATTCCTCAAAATGAAAACACAGGCATTTGCAAAGTTTCCCTGTTGAAAGGGTGTATGTTATTTAAAAATCTGTGAATGCAGATCATTCAGTTTACACAATGTGTAGATACTGTAGGTGAAGGAAGGTAAAACCTAGTGAATTGCCTGCAGACTTTGCAGTGAGAAACATTTTTGTGGGTAGAGAGTAGCATGACAAATGGTGTCGGAATGTGAAGGAGGAGGGTTAAGAGACCTGCTCATAAAGCAGCTGCAACTCATAACATGGAATTTGCACTTTCCACCAGTTCTACAGACTGATTCAGTGTGGGAGGAAAACCCAACAACCCCCCAAAAACCAAATTTAAGTGATTGGTGATAAAAACATGGCTAGCAGAAGAGCTGTGATACTGATGTACTGTATTTATTAGTGCTTTTTTATCAAGGAATAGCTTTATTTTCCAGTCTTGAAAATACACTCTTTATTCTCATTCCAAAGAATAGATGCAGGCAGCTAGATGGATTCAGCTGGGCTAGTTCCAGAGAAATACAGTCAATTATTTTATCTTTGCACACCATTTGTAATACAGTAATATACTGAATTCTAGAAGACCTTTCCTCAGTTGTAGCACATGCATGTCTGGCTAAGTCTACATGGCATGAGGAGAGATTTGGTCACTGTGCAGAGCAAACCATCTCAGGGGTTTTAATACGTTTTAATAACATGTTTTAATTTTAACATGTTTTAATACTGCCAGACCCTTCACCAGCACTGCTTTGTGCCATCTCGACCATATGTATCCATTTAATTCAAAATAATCTGTGCTTCCTGAGTATGCCAATATCAGAGGTTTTGGTTTTTTTGGTTGCTGGTGCACGTTTTTGTGTCTTTGATTATCTTCAATGTGTAAGTGTTCAAACAGCTTTGACACAAGTAATGAGTGTCAGGGCCATCTAGTGGAGGAGGTCGCTGTATCAGGTAAGAAACAGATTACAAGAGTTCACAAATACTTATGTAGTTAAAAGTTGTTAAAACAGTACAGAGCACCTGTACACATGAGACAGCTCAACAAATGGTGTGTTGTATTTCTGAAATAAAGGAATACTGAGGTAGGATTCATTTGTAGTTGTTTCCTCATTGGGAGACCTTGGAAGGGACACGACAGCATTGATGGTCTCTTCGTTTAGGGCAGTTTGAATGCAGTTGGATTCTAATTGTTAGGCAGCTAAACCACTGGGAACCAGAACAAGCACCAAAATGCAAGTACCTGAAAATAGAAGCAAAACAAAATAATGTATCCTGTAATCTCAGCACATAGATAGGCACAAACCAGAAAGATTACGTACTAGGGAAAAGAAAAAGCTGATTAAACTCCATAATCACTTCAGAGAAATCCCAACTTGAAAAAGTTGTCTCTGCATCCACAAACCAGTTTGGTTTTGCAAATCAAAGTATTTTACCTGTTTACTTCAAAGTAATGAAAGGTACTAAGTGTTCATCTGTGAGTGACCCTCTCTTTTTTAGCCATGAATAATGCTTTAAATAAACTCCCCCTGGATCTTGGTCTAAAAGAGGCAGGTTTGTTGTTCTTCTGAATGATAGGACAAAGATATAATTGCTGGAGGTTTAAGTATTCATGTTTTAAAGTGTGGCCTTTTCTGGAATCTCTGTATGTGACTTACAAAAATGTATGTCAAAGCAAGGGAAGGGATCAAAGTATCTGTGCAGCATTTGATGACTAGAATGTGTGAGATCTAAGTCATGTGCAAAGTGCTGCTCTGGAGATTGTATCCAAAACCAAACTCCTGTTCTACCAAAGAGAGAAAGGATCTTAGCAGATCAAGAATTTAATGACTGTTATTTTGAAAATGGGTTTGGTTGCTGATTTTCTTGTATTACTTTTAATTTTCTTTATAACAAATTTATATTATTAGAATATATTATTTATATATGTATATATGTACATATTTAACCCTAAAGATTGTATTCCAGCTGGGATATGCCAAATTTAGGGTTGCCTGTTAGGTCTTTCATTTAGGTCCATATGTACCAATGGAGTCTCTTTTTCCTGGAGTCTGTATTTTTCTGAATATCTTCTGTCTTGTGTCCTGATGGTGTATATTAAATGAGGTACAGTTTAAAATTCTGTTGGCTTTGTAGTCATGTACTTCTTTTGGTGCCAACGTTCTGAACTGTTTTCTGAACCGAGTTGTGGGGTTTTCTGTGATGTTTGCGGCTGTAACTGGGGAATCTTCACAGCAGGTTTTTTATACTTTATTTACAGCTGAGTTAAACCCCAAGAATATTGATTTGCCTTAACCAATGTGAGATGTTTAATGTGACTCATTACAAATAATTTTGAGTACTTGAATACATCAGAATATCCTTCTTGCCAATGTCAGGAGTGGCTACAAGTACCTGGCTTTTTTGCATGTTTATTTTTTTTGCCTGTTTCTCAGATCAGTCACCTAGAAAATGAGGAACATTGCAGTGAGCAAACACCTGTGAAAGGAGTGTGCTTAGGCCAACTAGAATGCTACTGGGGAAAAAAAATCTATCAAAATTTTGAAAACCAGTATTGGATTTGGTGAGATAGAAGCACATGAGTTCTCTCAGCACCTTTCCTGTAACGGTAACATCTTCCTAAAATTTGTAACAAATGAAGACAAATTCATATAAATGGCTTCATTAGTTTCAAACCCTGCTTTACTCATCCTGTGTCTTGAATGGTCAGGACTCTGGTGGCAGCAAAAGTGTTGCACTGTAATTGAAGACTCTATCAGAAGATCTGTGCACAGAGAGGCTGAATAAAGCTTTGGAGCACGGTCATTCAGACATTTCCTGCTTTGAATGCTTGACTGTGCAACTTAAGTATTGCCTTAAAGACTGGGTGGAAAAGATATGGGGGAAAAAACCCACAATCTTGCAGATTATAATATTGGCCATTAATAAAGTGGGACATAGAGATTGTGGCTCTGTGCTGTATCATCCAACAGGTTTGAAATTTTGCAGAAGTATTTGATCTGGGAAGAACAGTTGAGATAGGAAATTTTTGCCAGAATTAATCAAGTTGCTAAGACTTAAAAATACATTTCTGTGTTCACCACCTCTAGTTACTGCACAGTAGTTAGGGAGGAATGCTTGAAACATTTAACTTACAAATGTCTGACTTGCCTGGGCTGCGTTCTAGCTTGTTTTGATTCTTCATGATCATCTCAGCTGAAGTTGTAGACTACAGAATTTTATTAAAAGGTGGATACAAAGCTAATTACTGCTAGAGTTCTGAAGTCACTGCAGTCCAGAAGACTTGTCATTTTTCTTTCTATGATACACGATGAATACAAGAAATAGTGAGTTTTGAGGCATCAGCAGAAAAAAGTGCATTCTGACTACAGTGAATTCATTCCCTGCAGAGCTGCAGGCTGATTCAATGCCATCTGGATCATCAGCTGCTAATACCAAATCAGCCATCTCTAGAACATGTAACTTGGGAGGTTTTCTGTGTCATTGTACTAGGTCAGTACAGTAAAAAAAAAATTAAATAGGATGGAGTAGATTAAAGCTTTCTAGTAAAACAAATAAATAAAGCACTTGTTCTAGCTTCATTAAACAGCATCTTTTCTTTCCATTTGTTCTAAACTGTAATGTGAAGGGGACCAGTCTCAGCTTTGAATGATCATATGTAGCCAACAGAAACGAGTGAAATAAATTAGAAAAAGATCTGGGTGTGTTTAAAAATGAACCCTGTGGGAGCCATCTGGCTCATTCAAATCCTACTATGTTTTTCTGAAACAAGGTTATGATAATTTACCTGTGGATGTGTAAGGAAAGTCTGACTTCCCATTTTGCCATGCTTGTTTGGTTATGTGAGGTTTTTTTCTAAATTGCTATTGAGGTATGAAATACAGAAGCACTAATGTGTTCTAGTGTGCACATAGAACCTGCATAAACTTATTTTGTTAGCTTTTTATATATATGTAATTTAGAAGAAGAAGAACAAAGACTGGGTTAAACACTGTTTTTGTAGGATTATTTTTGATGAGTAAAGTACACCTTTTGGTCTGTGTCTTTGGGTTTCTAGAAAGGTAGCACATTTGTATTGATTCTTTTAAAACAGATTACATTGAGGTCAAGTTTAGGTTCAGTTTTTCAGTAGATCAGTTCCAAAGTTTATAAATAAATAGGTTTTGATTTTTGAAGAGGTGCAAGAGAGAGTTTGAGCCCTGTGATGTACTAATGGATGCTGATTTACACTTTGGCTGTAAACACAGCTTCTTTGATTGGAACAAAGGGAGATCTGCCTGTCAAAAGTCAGTCTGCACCCTAATACTTCACTGTGCTGTAGAGTAAGAACTCATACCCTTTTAAGATAGGACTTACCCCACAGAAGGAGATAAAATAACCCTTTTAAGATAGAACTTACCCCACAGAAGGAGATAAAATAATCCAACTTTTCAAAGTTTCAAATCTATAAAACCTTTTTGTTCTGTATGCTTCTACATCCATTTTGGAGTCCTTTTTTAGTGTAGAGTTTTAATACCTATCTCCATATTAAGGTATGCAAGAAAATAGCATTAAACATGGAATTTTTATGTATAAAAATCATGCAACTACAGACCTGGATCTAATATTTATTCATTTCTTTACTCACAAGGTGCCAAAGCTGTATATTTTATTAGATGCAACCTTCTGTTTCAAGTTCTGATGCAATAATCTTTGATTCTTCTCAGTTTATTCTCAAATAAAAGTGGGTGCTTTCTCCCTAGGTGTCTTGTTTGAATGCTTGTGGGGCTTTTCTGTAGTGTCTTGGAATTACTTGGTAGTGTTGTGTGCTTGAAAG